TACTAAACATTTTGAGCAAAAAGTACACTAATATATTATTCCACAATAATCCTTCATCTATTGTATTTTTTCCGAACACTACTAAACCTAAACATAATTAAAAAACACTAATTAACATCGCACGTGAATAAATTAACAAAAACAAATAACGCTGTTACTGCTCCGAACACTTTTTACAAACTAAAATTCAAAATCTTCCAGACTCTGTGGTCCAAGCAATCACCCACCTGCCCTAGAACAGTTTGTCTTTGTCCCAATCATTAAAAAACTAATAAACGTATCTCTTGGATTGATTTAAGACAGACTTCAAAAATTGTTGTTTGTCTTTGTCACACTCAAAGGGAAATGAATATTTATAATCAGTGACGTAAGTCTTGAGTGTTTTTAGGTAATTTAAAGGGCCACAATATTGATTTTGATGATGAGAGGGTTTTCTTAGAACTTAAAAGATCAGCTGCTGATAATTAAGATTTTAAAGAGGGGGTTTGTTCCAAGAACAATCAACAACTTGAATGAAAATTTATTTTTTTGAAAATGTTATTGTTTTTGAACTTACTTGTCTGCCATCATCGATATGGAACAGTCCACCGATTCCGAAGCAGTATTTTCTCCGTCCATTTAAGCCACTTAATTGATAAATTGCTTAATTATCACAGAAATGTGGCTCTGTTTAATAAAAAAAACACCTCTAACGGTTTCACACTGCTCTTTCTTTTTCAACCGTATTTTGTTTTGATTGTGATTGGTCGCCGTTGCCATGGCATTTTTGACAAATGTCAATGGGACAAATATTGCATTCAGCCGACGAAACTAGTGTGTAAATAGGACTTTACCAAATAACACAAACTAACAAACCTCACTAGATCAGAGCTATTTTCTCGCGATGGAACTGATTCAATCCGATCCAATTAGGTTTGAACCTGTACATTCTTGCGTTGAACAAGTGACGTCACATTGAACCTGGTTCAAAAAAGTTCGCTTCGCTTGTTATTCGTTGACATAAGACTGTGTTCAAAACTTCCATTTCCTCGCGTGCACCAGTGCTGACGTCATCTACAAACTAATTTAAACCGTAGTTTGAACCATTCGCCACGCGAAAAAAACGCTTTTGATTGATAGAAAATTATTTTTAAAAATAACACAGCTAAAATAGAATTCTATTTATCGTTGTAGGTGCCTGCATTACCGGCATTTTCGGATTTTATAGGTTATGTTTTCAGAGGAGATTGCGTTCCAATCAACATTTTTCACTCAAATTCTGTTTATTGTTGCCTCTAGAACACTTACTCTGGATCCAGTGTAGGTGTTTTTATATTCGAAACTAATCGGGCAACGTTAAAAGTTACTCCGTTTGGTCTGAGATTCTCGTTTAACTCGGTTTACTCGTACTATTGTTTTAGAGCAAATAGAGTAGGTTTATTTATTGAAAAGTTGTATTTTTTTTTTGCTCCTTATACTCAAACATAAACATAATTACTCTATTTCTCTGAGTAAGCAAATCGTTCAAGATTGTATTTTTTTTCACTCCTTTGAAGTAAATAGAGTGAGTTCGAATATTGAAGAATATAAAGACAAAAGAGTTCGAAACAGGTGTTTAGGTTTAAAAACAAATAAAACCGATTTGGAATTGATTCTAGTTGCACTGCAAACAATGATCTGGAACACAAATCAAAGATTGTGAACCAGTTCAAGACTTCAAAATCTATTCGGAATCAGTTTTAATTGAATTACGAACAATCCATGTGCTCCAATACAGTTCAGTTTAGTTTATTACGAATTCGGAACAGCAATTGTAACAGTAGGAACTCTAAAAATCAATAGTGAAATGATCCGGAGCCGGTTCTAAATGAGTTTCCAGGATACTAATTTAGGATTTTCTTGCACCATATGCGTTTCATAATATTAGGTGGGTTCGACTTGCTAACTCCGGGCACTCCGAGTGACTCTATTCGCACACGAGCCATTCGGGATAAGGTTCGGGTATTGCTTTTTACCGTATTAAAGGTGACTCCATTAGCTCTGTTCACTCCACTCCAACTCCGCGCTGAATAGCCGAAACCCAGCTATAATTTGGTATATAATCTGTTCTAGTTCAAAATAACAATTGAAATACTCGGAACTCCAAAAACCAGTTCAGAAATACTCTGGAACCAATCAACTATAGTAAGTTTAATGGTTCTAGGATATTAATTGTGCACCATATGCGTATAATAATAAATCAGTTCATGATTTTCTCTAGTTCGGAACAGCAATCAAACTACTTGGAACTCTGAGAACCAGTTCAAAAATCATCTGGAATTGGTTCTAAATGAACTGCAAACAATTCAATGTGTTCGGAACAATGCAACAATAATGAATTTGTTCAGAATCAGTTTTGAATTGAACTATGTAATATGTATGTTCGATATGAACAAATGCGTAAGCGCAATTCAATTTAGAACTGATTCTAATCTGAGTCCGAACAAACCAATTCCAAATTAGAATCAGTTCAGACTTGATCTAGAACCGGTTCTAAATGAACTACAAATAAAAAAGAGTAGATTCGATGTGTTCCAAAGTACTTACCTATATTAAGATTTTTTGATTATTAACTAATTCAGAACAGGTCTTTAGAACACAAAGAACTGATTTTAATTGAACTTTATATAGTTTGAAACTGGTTCTAATTGAATTACAAACAAAAAATGCAATAAGTTCAATGTGTTCTAGAACATTGATTAGAGATTTTTTTTTTTTAATTGTGATCCAGTTCAGGGCTTCATTTGATAGTAAACGATTTCGGAACAGATTTTTGATCAATTTTTAGAACAAATTTAAACTGTTTTCTCACGGTGGAGCTGGTTGAATCCGGTCCAAATAGGTTTGAAGCTGTACATTTTTGCGCTGAACTAGTTATGCCACATTAAACCTGGACTTCTGGCTTATTCTCCGTTGACATAAGACTGTGTTCAAACCATTCATTTTCTCGCGTTCACCAGTGATGACGTCATCTACAAATTAGTTTAAACCATTCGCCTCACAAGAAAACGATTCAAGACAGAGTAACTGGTGCAATCTGGATTAGTTCAAGATCAGTGCAGATAAAGCAGGGTCAGTACAACGTCAGTGCAGCTTGTACCATGTCAGTGCAGGTAGATTTAGAAGTTCCAGAGCCACTATACTCTGTCAAACCAACCTACGGAGTGAAAAGAAACAAAACCTTTAAAAAGGTTCGTTACTATTGGTCATTTATCAGCCCGCTTTACACTGTAGAGTGATATTTTGTAAGATTTTGAAATAAATAAATGGCATAAATTAGTGTTCAGTGTCAACCTGGCCGCCATTTTGACTCTGTCATACTCCGTAGGTTCGTTGGACAAGATTTAGATCAGCAGGGCTGGGATTACGACAAGTAGCATTCTACTTTAATGACGTCACCAGCAACCTATTTATCGCGTAGAGTACAGGCGATGAAGACGGTTGTTAGGCAAGCTGACGTCATGAAAGTAATGTTCTAGTAAAATTCTACTTGTTATGATCCTAGCCAAGACAGGGTAGCTGGTGCAATCTTAGATAAGTTCAAGATCAGTGCAGATAGAGCAGGGTCAATACAACGTCAGTGCAGCTTGTACCATGTCAGTGCAGGTAGATTTAGAAGTTCCAGAGCCACTATACTCTGTCCAACAAACCTACGGAGTGAAAAGTAACAAAACCTTTAAAAAGGTTCGTTACTATTGGTCATTTATCAGCCCGCTTTACACTGTAGAGTGATATTTTGTAAGATTTTGAAATAAATAAATGGCATAAATTAGTGTTCACTATCAACCTGGCCGCCATTTTGACTCTGTCATACTCCGTAGATTCGTTGGACAAGATTTAGATCAGCAGGGCTGGGATCACGACAAGTAGAATTCTACTTTATTGACGTCACCTGCGACCTATTCACTGCGTACAGTACAGGCGATGAAGACGGTTGCTAAGCAAGCTGACGTCATGAAAGTAGTATTCTAGTAGAATTCTACTTGTGATCCCAGCTAGGACAGGGTAGCTGGTGCAATCTTAGATTAGTTCAAGATCAGTGCAGATAGAGCAGGGTCAGTACAACGTCGGTACAGCTTGTACCATGTCAGTGCAGAGAGATTTGGGACTTCTAGAGCCAGTATTTTTTTTAAATGCCTACCTTAAAAATCTAAACACTATCCGCATCCGCCATTTTTATTTTTAGGTTGGGTTTATTTGACAGATGGTTGACAATTAGAAGGGGTTTTCAGAAATGAATCGGATCAGTGGGTGATATTGAAAATTGTTCGCTGTAAGAATTCAGAACAGTATTTAATAACTATTCGCATCATTGGGTTTTAGTTCATTGTTCGCACTTCCAATTAGAATTAGTTCCCAACTGATTCTATCTGAACTGGGTTCGGCTATTCAGCTCGGAGTTGGAGTGGAGTGAACAGAGCTAATAGAGTCACTCCTAATACGGTAAAAAGCAATACCCGAACGGCTGGAGTGCGAATGGAGTCACTCAAAGTGCACGGAGTGAGCAAACCTAACCCACCTCTGTTCGAAACTGAATCCGAGTTCATTGTTTATGGTTCAATTGGAAACGGTTCCGAACCAGTTCGAAAATGAATTGAACCAGTATCAAGTTTCTAGTTCTTTGTTCAATTAGAATTAGTTTACGTGTTTGTGTTTTTCGAAGCAGCACTTTCTGCTCTAGGGCGTTCGTGTGACACAAACCTAATCAGTCCCGAACTGGATCTACTAGAATCGGTTCCGAACTGTTTTTTTTTTGTTAGGTTTGCCATATCGTCAATAAATACATGAATATTTGCACGCGAAAGACGTTAGCAAACACCGAACACAACTTGTATTTTTTAAATAATATTTTGCAAATGAGGCCTGCAGGTGACGTCACCACCGATAAACTGCTATGTTGACGTCACTAGTAGGCCCTCCCGACTCGAAAAATGGCAAACGTACGCTTCTATAAGCACGAACAGTAGTATTTATTCTTGCTCCCAAACGCAAAATTCCTTTTATTGAAAAAAAATATAAAATAAATTAACTCAAAAATACAGCAAGAAAACAATAAACACTAAGGTGTGTCTTGTAGCAACAAGCATTGTTGTTGCACCTTTTGAGAAATTCTCTTCCGTGCGCTGTTGCCGCTGTCACTTAAGGGCCTGTCCTTTGAAAAAGAAGGCGTCAACAAATAACCATAGTCTTTTTTCGTTGACACATACATATCAAAAGCCTTCTGAGTCCTAGGACTCTTAGGACTATCTGCTTGATACTTTTTGACTAAACTTCTAGTTAGAGTTTTTTTACGTAAATCATCAGATTTCATTATTATTGGTGATACTTGATTGTCGATTATTAGTTTTCCTTTTAGTCTCAAAGAGCGTCTTTTAGGGGATTCTTCATCAACGTCCATGGTTTTGAATAAGTTGCAAACTGAGGAAACAGGGGTTAAGGAGGCGTTTTTTGGGGTCATGCAAAGTTGTTCCATTTTGACAAACTCATCAGTTTCTGCATGGGAATCTGGTGTTTTTAAGTCTTCTTCTTCTTGAATTGAGGATATGTTTGTAGAGGGTTTTTTGGAAGCAGATTGTTTGGTCGAGTATAGTTTTGGGTGAAGGGAGGAAAGTTTTTGTTTTAAAGGGGTGCGTTCTTTTACAGTTTCTTGTGTAGCAACAATCGTCAGAATTTTTTTTATGTCTTCACCTTGCTGTTGCTGAACCTGCTGGACTTTTTCCAGTTTTTCATTGTTTTCTTGGCATAATTTAAAGATGTTTTCGAGTTTTTCTAAAATCAACTCTTGGGTTTTGGAAATTTTTAAAATATCGTCCGATTTTGGTTCCGAAGAAGGCTTTAGCTGTTTGGGCGGTCGTAGGTTCAATACTGGAGTTGGCGGAAGAGGTACAGCCAACTGGGTGTCGTCACTATTGGTTATTATTATTGAAGGTAAGGCAGACTTTTTCAGTGGTTTTGGCTAAAAAAAAAATAGTTTGGCAACACTGGGGAGGGAACTATAAAATGACTTATGGAGATTGGTAAAATGTATGTTCATCTCTTTCTCTCAGCTTATCAAAAAAAGAAATAGAAATACATTGTCTTTACTCTATTACCTTTGTTATCCCCTTTGCTAAATAACTTTGGCGCAAAGAAGGCCTAGCATTCCTAGCAACAGGCAAGGGTTTTGTAAAAAGCTCCTTCCTAACACCCTGATCATTTTTTTGGAATTTATTTGGCTGAAGATTTTCATTTGCAGGAGTATTTTTGAATATAGGCAAATCTACAAATAAACATTGCTACACTGTTGCCAGAGTTAACTAACTTTTTTTACCTTTAACGTCAAATGGAACTGCCTTGAATTTGCCAGTTTCAGGGTCTCGTACTAAAAAGATTTTTTTGAACAAACAATGCTATAGGATTTTCAAGTTATATTTAGGATGACGTCACATTTAAAAAAAAAAATAGTAAGTTTTGCTGCCAACCTAACAAAACTAAAAGTACTCTTTGAGGAATTTAAAAATGGGGATGTTTTGGTTGACAACATTGTTGGTCCTTGTTCGATGACGTCATCCTTAAGAAACCTATAATTTTTTGCTTTACTTACTAAATCCTGGCAAATCATTACAAATAGGACGTTTAGTTGTGCCCCTCTCTGTTTTTTTGGAATCTACAAATTTCAAATTTCAATAGACACAACGATGACGTCATTTTTTAAAGCAACAAACCTATTTGGGAGGAAGCTCGCCCATTAGCCTTTGTTATATTTCTAGGCGATTTCCTTGCAGAATAAAGATGTACAATTTCTAGAAAAAAATTACCATATATTGTATGTACTATAAATAAAGATTACAATGAATTACCGTCTAGATTGCCTGGACTATAGAGTCCAGTTTCCCTGTCGAGAACTGAAAATAGAATTTTTCATATACAGGAAAAAAGAGATTTTATAAATTTACTCACTGTAGCCTGGAATATCGTACTTTTTTGTAGAACTCATTTTTTTTAACTTAAAATTAATAAATAAACAATAATAATGACAAATTAAACGGATTTTTCAAAAAATATTTGAGTTAAATGATACAAGGAAAAAGGTTATGTTGATTATTGATGTTTAGTAAAATGGCGGGAATCCGAATAAAAAGATAATACACTGTTGCCAACCGGTAAAAACGAAAAGAGGCATATTAGAGTAGTTCGAACAGTAACAAACGGAGCAAAAATCCTGTTCCTATTAGCTCTCAAAGTGTTCTCTTTTGCGTTGGGCTTATAACCGGCTATGACGTCACGACATCGTGAAATGCAAAGTCGAATTTAGCCTTTGAAGTAGAGCAAATTTTAATTATTCCTGGCTCTTGAATGTAGCTCTTTAATTCATTGAATTAGACGGAGTAAAAAAGAGCGCTTCGTGTAAGATTTGAAAGCGCTCTATTGCAATCCGTTTCGGATTTGATCAGTCGGGTGCAAAAGGCAAAAGTCGAAAGCGCTATCAAACTACGCACACTCCTGAAGGTTCTACAACAGTTATTACAAGAACCCGAATAAAATTTTTGAAATAGAGCAAATTTTGATTATTCCTGGCTCTTGAATTTGAATCACAAGCCTGGAATAATTCAAATTTACGAATCAGATTAGTGCAACGTTGCCATTTGTATAAAAATAACAGTAAATTTCGAATTTTGACTATTCCCGGCCCTTGAACTTGAATCAAGAGCCTAGAATAATTTACATTTGAAAATTCAACACCAATCAGATTAGTGCAATTGCAATGTTGCCATTTGTATTGGAATAGCAAAAAGTTTTGAATTTTGATTTTTCCCGGCTCTTAAAACTTGGAATCAAAAACCGGGAATAATTTGAATTTAGTAATTCACCACCAATCAGCTTAGTGCAATGTTGCCATTTGTATCAATCGGGTGCAGTTTTGAGGCAAAATTCGAAAGCGCTATTGAACTACGCACACTTCTCACAGTTTTAGAACAGTTATTGCAAGAGCCCGAATAAAGTTTTTGAGATAGGGCAAGTTTTGATTATTCCTGGCTCTTAAATGCCAATCAGATTAGTACAATGTTGCCACAGAACAGTATTAGGGCAGATGGAACAGAAATTAAAGCAATTGGAGCACTTAGAGTAACTCGAACAATAGAAGGAATTCAAATAGAATTAATGCAGATGGAATGCTTAGAGTAACTTAAATCGAGCTGGTGCGAATAAAACAGAATTAGACCGGTGAGAATAGTTCCGACAGTTGAACAAATAAAAAAAAAGCAGTGCACTTGGAACAGTTGGAGTAGAATTACTAGAAATTCAAAATTAATTTTCAAATCAGCTTACTGTTATAGTGAATAAATTCATTAGGCAATTTTTCGCGAGGATAATCAAGCATAATTTGATTATGCTGGGGCGAGTTCAGGAATGACACACCCAGAGTGAGTGTGACACCGGTGCGACGTTATGTGATGCGTCAATTATGTCATACTATACTCTCCTAACATTGCTCCTAAGGGTGGATTTTTATGCATCCGTTTGTCCGACGAAAGATTTCCGAAAAACATTCTATTCTGACATAATCGTATAAAAATATGTCAAAATAGAAGATTTTTCGGACATATTTCGTCGGACAAACGGATGCATGAAAATCCGGCCTTTCTCGTTCTTCATCAAATTTTGGGCCTGCTAGTGACGTAATTATCAGCAGCTTATAGTGACGATGTCACCCGCAGACCTCGATAGAATGCTTGCGATTTAGGCTGTGCTAGTGAGTTAATTTTTTTGTGAATGTAGAAAAGGCGAGTTTTGTTTGTTATCATGGAAGAAATTAAGTGTTCTCGATCCTTGAGTATTCGAGAATTTGATGGTGGGGGAGTTAGGAGAGTATGACACAATTGACACATCACCAACCCAAATTTAATTTTCAAATTAGCCTACAGTTATAGTGAGTAAATTTATTGTTTGATATCACATTAGAGTAGTTCGAACCAGAACAATACAAACAGAACAAAGTTAGTGTAGATGAAACAGAAATTAAACCAATTAGAACACTTAGAGTAACTCGAACAATAGAAGAAATTCAAAGCCGCTTTCCAGTATGGGAGTTTGACGCCCGGAGCTACTCGGGGCGTTGAGCCTCCGAGCTGTACGTACGCGTCAACCTGTCAGCTGTCACATCCGTGGGTGGCTATTTATTTATTTATTTCTTGTTATATCTCAAGATTGAACATTTTAAAAAATATAGTTTTGATTATCTTTCATTTATGATAAATAAAAACACAAACTGCACAAACAAACGGATAATTATTTTTAAAATTTGACATATTTGACACTAAGACGGGCGTCTCACGTCATGATACTGGAACGGTACAAATCAAGTGCGTGGCGCCCCCGAGGTGCTCTGGAGCGCGCCAGAGCGCGCCAATGTGCATACTGGAAAGCGGCTCAAATAAAATTAAATGCAGATGGAATGCTTAGAGTAATTTAAACCGAGTTAATGTAAATGGAACAGAATTAGAAAAATCAGGGCGAATTCTCATGAGCGTAAGTTGACATTTCTGGCGTAATCACATGATAATATGATGTAATTTGATTGGTAAAATCTCCAGCATGGCGAATATTTTACCAATAAAATTCAACCATTTTATCACGTGATTACGCCAGAAATGTCAACTTACACTCATGAGAACTTAGTAGTTTCGACAGTTGAACATATCAAAAAGAGTCAGTGCACTTGGAACTGTCAAGAGTAGACTTACTAAAAACCCAAAAGTCAAATCAGTCTACTGTTATAGTGAATAAATTCATTGTTTCATAGCATATTAGAGTAGTTCGAACAGTAATAATCAAAGCAGTGCAAACAGAACAGAGTTAGTGCAGATGAAACAGAAATTGAAACAATTGGAACCCTTAGAGTAACTCGAACAATCGAGTAATTGAAATATTTTAAATCGAGTTAGTGCAAATGGAACAAAAATAGAACAGCTAAAGTAATTGGGACACTTGAACAGATTAAAAAAAAAGTCAGTGCACTGATAACAGAACAGTTTTAGAACGCACTCTGCGTATGACGTCACAATATCCATATTCATACCGTTCGTTCTCCTTCGTGGAGTACAAAGCCGAACTCAGCCTTCGATCTATCGAATTTGACGGAGTAACAAAGAGCACTCCGTGCGAGATTTGAGAGCATTCTATTGCTTAAGTCAAACATGTGAATCGGTTTTGAATTGAAAGCGCTTGCAGGATGTTCCGTTTCCTGTTCAATTAATCTGAGGCGTTTTCTCGCGGGACGAATGGTTCGAGCTACGGTTCAAACCAATTTGTAGATGACGTCATCAGTTGTGAACGCGAGAAAATGGAAGGTTTGAACCACAGTCTTATTCCAACGGAGAACAAGCCATGAGTCCGGTTCGAACTTTTTTGAACCAGGTTCAATGTGACGTCACTGGTTCAACGCAAGAATGTGCAGGTTTGAACCTAATTGAACCGGATCGAACCAGTTCCACCACGAGAAAACAGCTCTGAATTCGTTCTAAATTAGATCAGAATTTGATCCGCAAACAAAACAAAAGAAAAATATATTCCAGAGTAACAGAGTGAACACGAAACTGGATTCGCTTGCCCCGACTCCCAAATTATATCGTTCAGAAATAACTTAGTTTTGTTCGCAGATCGAATCGAATCGGTTCCGGGATTCAGATCAATTTTGAACTGATCCAACTGATTCTAGGGATCGAGGCCGTAAATTCATAACACTTGCAGTTTGTTGTTTTATGTTTGAATATCTTAAATCTATGACGTCATATAACACTGTATTAAACCAGTTTTGAAAAACATTTTAAAACAAACAACAACCAATAAAGTACGTTCGGCTATTGATATTAAATGGTGTGTGTTTGTTCGGAACACTCCCGCAGAGATCTGTAACGTGACGTCATTTTCCAGACGAGGAGCAGTAAGCTGAAAAACTGCGAACGAAGAACTTTTTGTTCGAGGTTCGACTTGAATGGGTTCCGGATCGACTCTGAACTAATCAAACTTGTTCTAAATATCACAGCACTACATTTCTGACATTTGCAGTTGGTTCAGTTTCCTGTTTGATTAATTTTTGAATCCGTTCCAAATTTAAATCGGAATTTGATCCGCAATTAAAAGCGATTTTCTTGAAATATGGCAATAGTGGTTCATTAATCATGCAGTGCTGCCACGCCTTTTAAAATTTACCCAATTTTAAGGTTATTTTACGTTGATTACATGTAAATAAATATCGTGTTCTTGTTTTATTGTAAAGCCTAGTTAAGCTGAACGAAAACGCTACGTTTCAAAATGGCGTCGCATCATTTGTCAAACACAAATCAAATTTTCTTTAGTACGTTTTAATCAAATAAACATATATCAAATTTGTTTTGTGTGCCATTAATTTATTAAATAAGAATCAAAATAATGCGAAAATAAATCGTACTACTAGCGACATTTATATTATCAAACAAAATATTACAGAAATCTGTAACTATTTTGAAGTAAGCGGTGTTATTTACCAACATAACCTCAAAATTTAGTAAACAAAAATCCGGTTCAAAATGGGGCTCCTAACGGACCCCAACGGCGGCCAAGGCAAACTAACAAAACTCCTACTTAACTACCACGGAAAACTGTGCAAACTCTCTTACCTAATCGGCGTAATTTGGTTTTGCTCGCTGGCCGCGCCCCAGTTCAACTCGAACACTTACTTTTCCGAAAACGCCTTGCTACCGGGCCTAGTGAAGTCAACCTTCCAACAAGACCGCCTCGCCTTGCAGTACTTCCAAGAACTGAAAGACGAAACTCAAAAATATGACTCTTCATTACCTTATGCGTGGCTTTTGGCCAAATTCCGGCAAATAGGCCTGGACGCTTACACGCACAACTTTACTTTACATTCTCCTTTGAATCCTAACGAGACGTTTTACGGTAAAAATGTTTACGGAATTCTTCGTGCTCCTAGAGCTTCTAGCACTGAGGCTTTAGTTTTAAGTGTGCCTTATAGGCCCCCTTCAAGTATCCACCCAACAACTCTACCTTCAATCGCTATTCAATTAGCCTTTGCCAAATTTGCAGTAAAAGAAAAATACTGGGCCAAAGATATAATTTTTCTAATTACCGATCATGAACAATTAGGAATGCAGGCCTGGCTTGAAGCTTATCACGGAGTCAGTTGTGGCAACAAAGATGTGCTAAACCATGGAGATTTAAAAGGAAGAGCAGGTGCGATACAAGCCGCAATCAACTTGGAACTTCACAGTGTTAGAATTGGGTATTTGGACATTAAAATCGAAGGCCTCAACGGCCAATTACCTAATTTAGATTTGTTTAATTTAGCGGGCAAAATTTGCATCAAAGAAGGAGTGTTTTATACATTTAAAAGCAAAAGCCGTGCTTATTTTAGAGACCCTTACACCGAGTGGTTGTATTATTTTAAGAATTTATTAGCAATGATGACAACGCACGCTACAGGGATTCCAAATGGTAATCATGGATTGTTTTTGAGGTTTGGAATTCAGGCGTTGACACTTGAGGGGTTTGAGCAAAGCAAAGAAGGATCTAGAGTGGGGCTTTTAAATATTGGCAGAGTTATAGAGGGGATTTTTAGAAGTAGTAACAACTTATTGGAGCGCTTTCATCAAAGTTTCTTTTTTTATTTGTTGCCCAACTATGACAGGTATATTTCTATTGGGCTTTACATGCCTGCGGCTTGTATGATTGCTGCTGCTTTAATTATAAAGGCGTGCGCTAAATGGTTTAAGTTGCAAGAAGAAGACATCAATGTTGCTTATATAAAGGTCATAGTTGTTTTTGTTTTGATGCACTTCATTGGGGCCTTTGTGAATAGTTTGCCGCAAATTGCCCAATTATTCAATTACGATGTTAGTAGTGCAATATTTTTTGGGCTTATAAGCGTTTTAATAACATCCTTACTAGTACCCCTTGTGTTGAAGGACTTTAGTTTTGAAGTAATGTTAATTTTTGCCTTACTAGAGCTGGGTACTACTTTGATTTGTTTGTCAATGAATAATATTTCTTTGGGGATGTTTTGTAGCGTTATATCAGTACCAATGGCTTTGATAATTGATATTACTTCAAACAAATTTTTTAATTATCTACAAAAATTACTCTGGATCCTCATTCATCCTTTTACAATACTATTTATAGTAGTGACAATTAATAGTTGGTTGCTTTTTAACCAAGAAAGTATTGGAGAAGTTTTATTGCGGGCTATTGTTGCCACCCAAGAAGCAGTCATATACAGTGTTGCCGATTCAATGATTTACGGCAATTGGTTGTACACAGTTGTTACAATGGTACTAATACCAAATTGGTTGTGTTTTTGGTGTGTCACTTTTGGACGAATCAAATCGCCGAAAAACAAATTCGATTAGTAATATATAGGAAAGGTTTTTTTTTAATTATATACATACAATTCATTTAATTTATTTTTCCAAATTCATCTTGATCTGGTCTAAACAATAATTTGCTTGTTCGATAGATTCATTGTTGTCGTGCTTCTTACCTTTAAAAAAATTAAATAAATAAATTGAGTTGATTGTATTTTATTTATAAAGTGTTTTCATTTGGGCTTAATGACTGTCGTTAGTTGGAATTTATCCTGACGTTTCGTTCGCACGCATGCTCCCATTCCATGTCCGATTCTGGTAGCAGACTGACGCGTTTCCGTTGTATTTATGTGCAAATGATTGTGATGCGGGAGGGGTGAGTGTGCAGTTTTTAATGCCCCAACTAACATTTTATTTTAATATCTTAATATATTGTTTATCAATGTAGCATAGTTTAATTTTTGTCAATCTCGCCTGATCAAATGGTAATTGCTATTAGCATTATTTGCCTTCTGTTCTGCAGATAGTTTCTGAACCAGAAGTACGGAATTTCTCTAATAAAGCTCCTCCAATCTTAACAACAAAATCAAATGGTCTACAGTGTCAAATGTCTTCTGTAAATCCAAAGACACCAGAGAATAGATATTTCCACTGTCTATTTTTATTTGTATATCTTAGATAAGATTTATAATCGCTGTCTTGGTGTCCTTGCCTTTGCAGAAACCATATTGACCCTCATACAGAAACCCCAACTTATCCGAAAAAAATTAAAGTCTCTTGCTTACACAAACTGGGAATACTAGAAGAACGGATACTGGTCGAAAATTGGAAAGTAGTTCATAATCCCCCTTTTTTTGTATAGAGGCGTAACTCTAGCTATTTTCATCTTGTGATTTTGGTATTGTATGTAGTGAATAGGTACAAAAATATTGAGTTCCTAATCCTAACATTCCTAACTATTTATTTTTATATCCAACTTGTGTGTTTTACGTTTTTATTGTTTTTTCTATACCCACTTTGACAAAGAGTTTTAGGGGCCTTAATACAAAAAGTTTAGATGGCAAATACATTACACAACATAACGGATCTCTTGAAGAAGCTGAGACGCTGCCAGTATTTCACCACCTTAGATTTAGCTAGCGGTTTCCACTAGATCCAGATGCATGAAAACGACATTGAAAAAACCGCATTCAGCACAGAAAACGGGGATTATGAGTTCTTGCGCATGCCTTTTGGTTTGAAGAACGCGCCGGCTACATTTTAGTGGATGATATTCTATATCCCAATATATTCAGTAACTTTAACACCGAAAGATGGAACATCCCATCAATAATAATTATTCATTATACCAGGGAAAAAAGTATTAGATATAGAGCGAGATATGGTTTGCCTCCTATCGCAAAGCGGAGGGAGAACAAGGTGGCCAAAGAGCGCTGGGAAAACTGGAAGTAGAACAGGGGAAATCGTTATCTTCCGTTCTCTATTCAACTTTAAAGTTCTGCTTGACATTCCATTCTATTACATTAAAATTTGCCTGTGTTAATCTGTCAAACCTGTATATAGGTAGTTCATTTTTTGGCCATGCCATTAGTTTATTTATAGGTTGTGTTGAGTTTTTTTCAATGAAAGCGAGGGAGTGTGTTGATTTCAGTCCATATAAGTAACGTTCTATTATATATTTTTATCAAAATTTGTTGGAATTGCCGCATTGCCGCTTGCCCCCATCATTAAAAGTCCCAAAAATACCGTGAAAAGACTCAAAAATTTCGCAGCTGCGGCGCTTTTCTTCCTGCAGCGCTTGCGGCGGAGATGCTACTGCTGTTAGGATCACTTCCTGTAAATTTGCTCCTCCAAGACCAAATCCTGACTACGCCAATGGTGCTGTCGAAGCTGAGTATAGCAGAGCTGCCGAAGATGTACGAATTTCAATAATATGAAGTAACCTGCAGGGATGATCAATGATCCAGCATGGCAATGGGTATCCGTCAACTGATCCCATTTAAATATATGTGTCTAATAGCTTAGTCCTGTCTGTCTAAGAAATAATACTTATGTTAATTTTTGGAGCCCAAGCTCACATAGTAATTTTGAAATTCCGGCGCCTATGAGCCTTTGCAAAGATAAACGATATTCACTAAGATAATTGGGCACTCTGTCTTTAGTCTTTGAACACGTTTTACTATGATGTTGTCCGCTCCACACGCCTTGTTTCTGTTCATTGTACTGATAATCGTTTCTACTCCTGCCAGAGTGAAACTGACTTGAAAAAGAAAAACTCCATAACACCATGAGAAATTTTCACAGGGATGTGTTAAATGTTTTTTGACAAATTGGGACCCACAAAACTCAACATCATTTTGTTTCAATGTTGGGATCACCTACGCTGTCTGCTCTTTGTTGTGCAATATTCTGTTGACTGTGTTACATGTTTTTTTTTTTCATTACCAAGGTTTCGGTATTTTTCATATGTCACAAATCGTAATCGTTCTAAGACCTTCCTTAGTTTTGCTATATGTTCCTCTAGTGTTTTTGAAAAGATTTTAATGTCGTCCAGGTATATAAGTACTTCCTTTCATTTCATGCCCTGAAAGGTGTCTGGAGCATTGCATAGGCCAAAACTTGAGAACGTTGAATTCATATGTACCATGTCCCTGTACGACGAATGCTGTGTATTGTTTTGATCCTTCTTCTACAAATACCTGCCAGTATCCCGAGAACATGTCCAGGGTACTAAAGTATGCTGCGTCTCCTAAGTATGACAAAATATCGTCTATTTGTGGTAATGGGTGCGTTGATTTTTTCGTCACGGCATTTATTTTTCGGTAGTCTACACAAAATCTCGTTTTTCCGTCCTTTCTTTTTACTAGAACCACCGGACTAGCCCACGGGGAGTGACACGATCTAATTACTTGGCTATCCAGCATCTCCTTGATTTGTTCATCGATTATTTGTCTTTCTTTCTGAGACACTCTGTATGGACGACTTTTTATTGGTTGCGCTTCTCCTACTTTTATCTTATGTGCTGTTAGGTTTGTTCTTTCCATGTGTTTAGTTGATTTGGTCGTTATATTCTATCTTTTGCCTCTAATGTTCTCTAGTCTAGTGTTATTTCCTCGACTTCATCTAATATTTCTTCTTGCGTTTCTAGGTAGTAGAACGGGCTTTCGTTTTCCAACTCTTCCAAAAATGCTATGGTGGTTCCTGCGTATATGGTTGCTGGATGCGACCCAAAATGGCCTCATAAGAAAACGTAGATGAACAACCAATAGTGGTTAAAGCATATCTGCCTTTCATTTCTCGGGTAACAGACAGGATAGGGAAAGTCTTGAAGAAACACAACACAAAAACGATCTTCAAGCCAACAAGGAAATTATAGCAATCAAGTAGAATAAGAGGAATCCTCTGTCAAGCGCTGAAGTCTATCGTCGTATACCATGCACATGTGGTAAAGTATACATCAGAACAACAAAAAGATCCAGGACTAGGACAGTCGGAAAAATCGGCAGTAGCGGAACATGAGCTTAGTGAAGGAAATCAGGAAATACTATTTGATGAGATCAAGCTTCTTGCACCGACTTTCGGATACCACAATCGTCTTGTACGTGAAGCTAAAAGAAATCCTAAAACATATGGAGAACTTCAACACTAAAACTCAACCAAATCTGGAATCCGATCCTCAAAAACGCAAGAAAGATTCCATTGAGTACAGAGAAAATTCAGATTAGCCACGTGCTGCGAAGCCCCGCCCCTCCCCCACCACAACCACTGACACATAAATACAACTTGCGAACGAAAACGTGTCAGTCTGCTACAACGTCAGGAAGAAACTTCAACTTATTAAGCCCGAATGAAGACACTTTATCAATAAACCTTTGCCGCACAAACTGTATTTTATTCACCTAAATTCCTTCCTTGTATGCAAGCCTTTTCCGCCTCCTCAATAACCCCTCTATGTAACAAAATCAGGCCTAAATTTGCATGTACGACCCCTAAATGTGTTTTATCTGTCAATTGGTTGCCTACTTCAATTGCCTCCTTTAAAAATTTCACAGCCTTTTCGCTGTCTTCAGCTCTAAAGCTGGTAATGGCTAAATCGTTTAGTAACAGCATACTTTTCTCACTGTAAATGCCTTGAGTCTCGTTACAAGCCTTATAAGCCTCATTCAAATGAATAAAGGCCTCAGACGGATTATTTGTGTCTAACATCAGTTGCGCATACCAATCATTTATTACTCCATAGAGAATTTTTGCATCTTCTGAGTTTTTGTGCGACTCTATTTGCTTCAGACAAAACTTATAGCCCAACTCAGCCCGATCAGGTTTATCTTGCAGCTGACTAATCCTTGCTAGTTTCAAGCTTATATGAATAACCTTTAAGTCATCCTGAGGGGTGCCATTACCTAGAAGCATCTGCAATACTACAACAAACAGCTTTTCGGCCTTGTCCAGTTCTAAACAATCAAAAGCCAAATTCGCCATTAAATCGTAACAATACAAAATTCCTTGTTGGTTTTGCTGCTGCTGGGCCATTCTAATTGGAAATTTTTCATTGTTCTAGTTACTTATTCTATTGTATAAATACTTACCTTAAGGCTAAATGAAGCATTTGTTCGGCCTTTTGAAATTCTTCGCGTTGTTTACACAAAACGGCTCGTTTTAGAGTCATTATAAGCTCGGATTCTTTTTCTTCGTCGTCTTTGGTGAAGCCCAGCCATGTTAGGATGCTTAAGGACAAGGTAACGGGCCAAAATGTGAATTTTGGAGGTTCAAGGGGTACCGGGTTACATAACCTCACTTTTTTCTGGTCGAAGTGTCTGATGACACTGTAAGCCAGGGGGTAAATTTTGTTGCTTCTTTGAGTCAGTTTGTATACAGTTTGAGCCAACTTAAACATTTTTGTTTGAGTTTTGAAATTTTGAATTTTAAAAATATTATTGGGATGTCAATAAATGTCAAATAAACAATGTTGCCAACATTATTTATACTTCATGTCAAATTGTTTCGAAGGGAAACTTTTATTGGGTATTGGTGATGAAACGAAAAAGTGCAACGGAAGTTGAGACAAACGATGTAGATTAATAGGATTTGGCTTACGAGAGAATGAAACAAAACACATCACTAGTTTTTGAATTGAAAAATCAAAATGGCGTTACTGACTGATGTCAAACTTCAACGTCACTGTATTACAGACGAATGGCGATAGTTTATTAGTAGATGGCGCTACAATAACTAGTGTAATTTTATCAACAATTTGGAGTAAGTCTCATTCAACAATCTTAAACGAGTCGGATTATGTAGAAACTATCCCAGAACAATAGCTTGACGTTTTCTTTCGTGAAAAAATAGCTCTAGTGCAGTTCGAACAGACACTTTGCACCGAATGTCAAATGACTGTTGCACTATTTCGCAATATTTCAAGACAATTTTCGATTTTACTCGCGTTACTGCTCCTGGATCCTTGGGTGACGTCAGAGATCCCTGCAAGAATGTTCCAAGAACGATTACCATCTTAACAGAAGTACACCCACACCATTTGAAATCAATAGCTGAACGTATCTTATTGTTCTGATTAAAACTCTTTGAATCCGAGAGTGTTCCAATTGCTTTAACCTCTGTTTTAGCTGCACTAACTCTGTTCTGTTTGTACTGATCTGATTGTTACTGATCCTCTAATATGCTACTGAACAATGAATTTATTCACTATAACAGTGGCCTGATTCAAAAATTAATTTTAAGTTTTAAGTAATTCTACTCTTTTTGATCTGTCCAACTGTCCGAACTACTTTGACTGTTTCAATTCTGTTCTATTTGTGAGTTATTTCAAGTGTTCCAATTGCTTTAAGTTCTGTTCCTTCTGTACTACCTCTGTTTTATTTGCACTTCTCTAATTGTTATTGTTCGAATTACTCTATTATGCTCCTAATCAATAAATTTATTCACTATATCAGTAGACTAACTTGAAAATTAATTTTGGGATTTTAGTAATTCTGACTGTTCCAAATACACTAACTTCTTTCTGATTTGTTCAACTATCCGAACTACTTTGACTGTTCTATTTTTGTTCCATTTGCACTAACTCGATTTAAATATTTGAATTTCTTCGATTGTTCGAGTTACTCTAAGTGTTCCATTTGCTTTAATTTTTGTTTCATCTGCACTAACTGTGTCCTGTTTGCACTGCTCTAATTATGAATAAATTTCTCTATCATAACAATCGACTAATTTGAAAGCAATTTTGGGTTTTCAGTAATTCTACTTTGACTAGTTCTAATTGATTGAAAAATAAACCCAAATTCAAGATCCTGGAATAGACAAAAATTGAAATGAAAAACTATTGAAATTTTCCTTATACTGGAACACTGTTGCCAAGTCTTCTAAAAAGTATGTTAAACTGAGAATTTTATTATGAAAACACGTTGTCACGTTTATAAAAAATCCTAATTAAACAAAAAAAAGGCTGTTTCCACATTGATCTGTCAAAAAAAAAAAATGCAACGGCCGAATACAGTGTTGTCAAGTTATTGAAGTCTTCCCTATAAATGCGAGACTAATCGGGAGATCCTCGATACGAGACAATAAAGCTAATTAATCTCTCGTCTCGTCTCGATTTTTTTTTGATCTGTTCACCTGTCCGAACTACATACTTTGACTGTTCTAATTCTGTTCCATTTGCACTAACTCAATTTAAATTACACTTAGCATTCCATCTGCAATAATTCTATTTGAATTCCTTTTATTGTTTGAGTTACTCTAAATGTTCCAATTGGTTTAAGTTCTGTTTCATCTGCACTAACTCTGTTCTGTTTGCATTGCTCTGATTGTTACTGTTCGAACTACTTCATTATGTTACTAATTAATAAATCTATTTACTATAACAGTAGTGGTGTTTCAGGGCACACGTGTAAAAAAAATCTTATTCTATATATACATTCGCGATGGTTCAATAATAACTGTTCAGAGTGCATTAACTGTTCAGAGAGTACGGCAATTCTCCGGAAGACTGCAAAAATTCGGAATTCTCCTATTGTTCGAACTACTGTAATTATTAGGAGTACTCCAATTGTTCGAAGTATTTTTACTGATCGGAGTACTCCGTATATGCAACTGTTCGAAATACTCTAACTTTTTCGAAATACTGTTCGGAATACTCTATTCGCACTAGTCCAACTGTTCGTTCCTAAATTCTTTGGGTTAACTAGAGCAGGCTAAAATATTCTAGAATAGCTTGTTTTAGAGTTTCAGAGTAATTTGTTCTAGAGTATTCCAGAGTAGCTTGCTCTAGAGTATCCCAGAGTAATAACTAGAATAGTCAGTTTCAAAGTACCAATCTGTTTACTATAATTGTTCGGAATACTCCGAGTACTCTAACTGTTGAAGTACCCCAATTGTTTGGTTTTCGTTAATTTGCGATAATAAACCGGTTAGTTTGGTCGAGGTTGGAACAGTTCAGAATCGGCTAATTTGAAAGTTAATTTTGAGTTTTTAGTAATTGTACTCTGACTATTCCAAGTGTACCGAGTTTTCTTGATCTGTTCAACTATCTGAACTACTAAGCACTTCATCTGCAATAATTTTATTTGAATTCCTTCTATTGTTCGAGTTACTCTAAGTGTTCTAATTGCACTGCTCCGATTGTTACTGTTCGAACTACTCTAATATGCTATTGGCAATTAAGTTATTCACTATAACAGATGGGATTTAAGTAATTCTACTCTGACTGTTCCAAGTGCACCGACTCTTTTTGATCTGTTCAACTGTCCGAACTATTTTGAACGTTCTATTTGCACTCAAATCGAACACGTGAATGTTGTCCTGTTTTAAGCCGAATATGAGAATCCGTTTTGGTTTTTTATCCCTGTTCTTTTTATTGAAAATAAAAAAGATGAAAAATGTTCCGACTATTCAGTGTTTCAAAACAAACTTACTCTGTATCAGGCGAGGCGATTGTTATTTGGCATTTTCTTTCGGTCAAAAATAGCTCAAATGCAGTTGGAACAGACACTTTTGAAACGAGTGTCAAATGACTGTTACGCGCTATTTTAGGACACTGACACTACAAAAAAGTTCAGGTTCATCACTGTAACGTAACGATCCAAAAAAAATAGAGCAATAATCTACATGGACTTACCTTGAGCATTCGGTATTTTGCTGGAAGAGCAGTGTACTGAAGCGGAACCGTAATCACGTGACCAGCGAGCGCAGACCTGCTCGAAATTTTAATAAGCCTGCTCCGAGCACACTTTTTGAATAAATGAACCGTAAATTTAAAACTCAAAGTATTTAGATAAATACCGAACGCTTGGTGTATGACAAATTAATGGCGATTGTTATTAGGCATTTTCTTTACACTCGGTGAATATTAAACGTGCTCCAAACGTTAAGATCTTGTTCGTTTTAGCTCTCAGTATGTTCTCTTTTGTGTTCGGGTTACAATCGGACACGTACTCTGAGTTCGCTTTCTTTTTCCTGAACACTCCAGTATCCAGATTATACTCTACGCGTTTTTGAACTCGAACGCTTGAAACCGTATTGCTCGGAGCATGACGCAACCATAAATCATTGGCCAGGAACGGATCAAACTCTGGTATTTCATACTCGGGAGTTCTCAAATGGTAACATCCGTGGTACAATTAAATAAAACTCAAATTAAAATTTTTATTATTAAATATAGCTATTAAAAGGTTTCTGGAAAAACCTAACAAGTGCGGAAAATGTTTGCCGCGTCGTTCGGTGAAGCAGCAACTGTAAGGTGCAATAGTTTGTCTACAGCCGTGCAGAAAAATCAATTTTCCGCACTAGCCGGATCTCAATGATCAAGGAAATTGCGACATTTTTTGGTCCAACAAATAATTATATTTCTTAGAAATAGCAGGAGATAAAAAGGAATTTATGAACAGTCATGAGCACAAAAGGTGGAACACCCGACTGACAGGTCTTGTCATTTTTCGCTATTCTGCGTAAAGCCTAGTACTCATAACTGCGAAATTCGCACTTTTTTGACATTGCTTCGATAATTTGACGTTTGATACACGCATAAAACGTCAAATTGTCAACGCAATGTCAAAAAAATGCGAATTTCGCAGTTATGAGTACTAGCAGGCTTTAATCAGTCTTTTCTCTACAATCGATTTTCTGACAAATATGACAATCCCTGTCATTGCCTAAAGCCTAGTACTCATAACTGCGAAATTCGCATTTTTTTGACATTGCGTTGACAATCTGACGTCTTATGCGTGTATCAAACGTCAAATTGTCGAAGCAATGTCAAAAAAATGCGAATTTCGCAGTTATGAGTACTAGGCTTTAGGTATAGCTGGTGAGCCCGTTTCACAATAGAAAAAAACGGGTGTCCCACTTTTTGTGCTTATGACTGTATATGTATGAATAATTTAGTGAAAATAAGGAAAAATCGTAAATACATGTAGGAAATTGAGACTTTAATATTAAGCTTACTTAAGATTACATTTGGAATAAAATTTACTCAGTTGACAAAATTGCTCACAACTTGGCAACAGTGGCAATCAAACATCCTACGTTGCCATACCGTCAAAAACGGCAACAGCAATCATCAAATTTCTCCTGGTAAAGTGCAAATTAATCAAAGGCGAATTCTTCGTCTGGAAGGTCCTGACCAAATACGTATCTCCAGTCTTGACGTCTGGATTATGAGAAATGTTTACGTCTTCCGAACTAGTTTCTTCGGTCAATTTGGTAAAATTCCACAACTTTACCGTACAATCCAACCCACCTGAAACCAAAACGTTACCGCACCTGCTAAAGGCCAAACAGTGAATGGTCTTTTCGTGTCCGGTCAGTTCAGCTACCAAATGACCGTGCGACAAGTCCCAAATCAGCACCCTGCAATCTGTACCAGCGGACGCCAAAAACCTACCGCATACACTAAAAGCCAGCGTTTGTATGGGCCGCTTGTGACCGGTCATCAACCTAACGTGATTACCAGTTGTCAAGTCCCACAAGCAAACTCGCCTGTCGCTTGATCCCGTAGCAATGTAGTTGGCGTTGGGATGAAACTGGACGCAATCAACGTCAGAAAAATGACCGGCGAATATACGGAGCGGTTGGTGCTGGTCGGTGGCCCACAACCGGGCAGTTCGGTCATAAGAAGTTGATGCAAAATAATATCCATGTGGCGAGAATTTCACGTCCCAAACGGGGAACAGGTGGCCTTTGAATACTACCAGACAAGTCCAGATTTGAAGGCTCCATAATCTGAAAATAATTTGGTTATGTTGTGGGTTTATACCAGACAAACAATCAGTTGCAAGAGAATAATCATGTGTCACTCTAAACCACAAAATAAACAATTAGAAAGAGAGATTTGATGGTTACGGAGGAAGCCACGCCCATTGGGATAAAATAGACCCGTAATTTACAATGTCTTAACTGTAAAAATTAAATGTAATAATCAAAAACTGAATTTCCTGTATTTCAAATCAGTATCAATAATTTGAAAATGAAACAAAATAACGTTGATCCCAAATTAATTTTATTATTTAGTCACCAAGCGTGATGTCATCTCCTAAATCAAATCAATGAATATATTAAAAGCGAGGCTAAAGTAATTAAATAGGTGATTTATGGCCGCACGTGTTGTCGGTTTTCTTTAAGTTATATCGCCTCACATTCTTATACGAAATCTGTTGACCCTGATAAACCAGGAAATTGCGACATAATTTTAAACAAATAGAAAAGGAAAACGTGTTAAGTCTTTGAAAAGTAACGGAAAATTGAGAAAGAAAGAACTTTTAAATGCGTTCAACATTATGTGCGAGCTCTAGATATTTTTTAAGTAAATTAATTAAGTAATTTTACGAGTGAAAAGTATAATGTAAGTACTCTAGTGACTAGATAACGCGTCACCAGTTAGTATTCTTGACGTTAAATGTTGGAGGAAGAGGGTACGCCCCTGATATTTCCGCCGTTAGCTCAATTCGACGTCATAGAAAAGCAAATCGGATCCCTCTTTTTCTATTCCTTCGGATTGTTTGTTATTCTGTGGTCAAACTCAATAAAAAAATAAAAAAAAACATGCGCAGATCCATTTTCACATAAGACTTAAGAGTTAACTAACTTTCCTATGTTTTATGTTAGTATTTTCTGTATAAACGACTAAAGCCCATTTTACAATGGACGTAACGTAACCGTAAAAACGTACTATAAGTACTAAGTATGCGCACATCAGATTATCTGCGTCAAAAATCTCAACGTTGCGTTTCCGGCAACATATATGACGTAAATAACCCTGATATGCGCATGCTTAGGACTTATACTTTTACGGTTACGTTACGTCCATTGTAAAATCGGCTTAAGGGATTATCTTAAGATGTTATGTCTTATGTTATGTGTCTTCATAAACATGTCTATTGTATAAACAGGGCCGGACTGGAAAATTTTGTTAGCCCAAGTTGGAGTCCTTATATCGACCCACCCAGTGACCCAGTAATTTTTGCTTTCCCAATAGAGCCGCAGGCGGAAATTTTGAAAATTTTCAAGGTCACGCGTTCTCCTTAGAATGTCTTTAAGAAAACTCATTTATTCAATAATATAATAGCTTATCCTTGTCAAACAACGGGTAATGAATAAGGACAGAGCGTCAATTATACAAAACCCACACCTGTACTAATTAGCCAATACACCTCAAAGACACTTTCTGGAGATGTTTTTAAGATGTTTCAGAGATGTCTTCGATGTTGTTACACCTTCTAAAATCTAAAATCAACCCCAAATTCTCACCTGATCGTCGTATCCTCAGAACAGCTCAGCAACAAAGTCCTATCGGGCGAAAACGCTACGGAGTAAACGGATCCGTTATGACCGCAAAGAGCTCTTGAACTCTCACCAGAACGTTCGTCCATCATCCGAACTAAAACATCTTCAGCTTCAATATTGACGTCACTAAGCTTGTCGGCCGATTTCATCGCTTTGAGTTTCTGAGGCACCAGCGTGAACACTTTGATTATAGAGTCGTTAAAGCCAACGGCTAACATGCTCGAGTCTTCAGTTATTTCTGCGCAGCAAACACTAATAATTGAACCAATAATTAATGTTGTCATTACTAAAGGATGATACCCACTACTACTACAGGATGGCCTATCTTCATAAGGCCATAAGTTGTGACGTAGGCAGCATATTATTTTTGGCTGACGTCGGAAATGGTGACACAATGATGATAAGCAATCCTGTAGGTGTGCATCATTTTTGATTACTCACCTATGATTGGCATTAAGTAAAGTATAGCAGCAACAAGAAGGCAAATTATCAGTAGTCAAGTTGACTCGCTTGGAAGCTTCTCTCAAAGCTTTCAACTTTTCAATTTTATCATTGTCTTTTAAGTCAGGCACAGGTATTCTGTCGTTTGGAGGGGCATTAGGATCAGACTTTGTCTTTTTAGACAACAACGGGTCTTTTTTTGACTTCTTCTTTTTTGGTTTGTCAGGATTGTCTTGATTGTCCTGATTGTCTTCTTCTTCGTCAACTGGTGCAGATAAAATCTGAATATCAGGCACTTTTGGTATGCCATAGTAGACTTTTGTTTTGTTATCTTGTCGTCTTGCCTCGCCTCCTACTGCACCTGAAGTTGCATCGATTTGAGTCTTATTTCTTGCTACTCCTTCGTACATGTCAAAGTACAAATGTTCTTGTACGATATTCAAAAGTACTGAGGCCTTTTTGTCACTCAAATGTCGCTTTAATAAAGATAAAGTGTCTCTAGACATTCTGATAATGAACTGATTAGACTTGAAAGTGTCTGTAAGTTCGTTACCGTTCATGTGCTCGCGTCGGGTAACCATTGCAAGTTTTCTTAAATCATCTTGATAGTAAAAGTCCTGTTCTGGACCGAATTTTCTCATCAAAGTGACTGCTTCATCGCTGTGACCATTATATACCAGCTCTAAATACATATGTACGAGAACTGGATAGAGGATCATTCCTAGTTCATGTTTGTAGATATCTAAAGAGTTTTCTACAAAGCGTTTCAGTTCCATGTAAGAGAGTACGTAGGTGTCAGGGTCTCCGTCGCTTTTGTAACCAGTCAGCACGCTACTAACATCTGAATCTTGATCTGCGATGTCTTCGGAGAAGTTTGCTTCTTTTCTAAGGGATTCTTCAGTGCCCTAAAAGATCCTTGTCAAATATGAAGCTCTATGAATGAATATTTTCTGAGAAATTCAAAATTGAAAATCGTTACCATTTTGAATTTTCAGAAACGATTTTGATTGGTTTAAGTCACAATATGTTCTCAGATTGTCGTTTTTAAATTCAACACTACACTTGACAACAGTGTGGATGTGGAATTCACAGGCGGAAAATTTTGTTAGATTGATAACACTGCGATTTAGTAGGTAATGACGTCACAACGTGATAGTTGTTTTTGAGCGCATTTAAAATTTTCAAACTTTGTTCATTCCCGGCTTTTGAACGTCATTTTGTTATGCTTATGGTTTGTGTCAAATGTCAATGCATTAAAATGGCGTCTCAATGAGTTCGATCCATTAAAAATTTCAAATTTTGATTATTCCTGGCTCTTGAACAAGAATAATAGACATTAAGGATTGCTTATCGGCCTCGTTTTCAATAATTGCCGCCATATTGGTGTATCACCATTTCTGACGTCATAACTAAGTGCTCGTGGACTTAAAATCAAGAGCCGGGAATAATTTAAATCTGAAATTCCATCTACCAGCGAATTAAACAACGATATTATTTGTGAAACTGTAACAACTTATTGCTATACGCCATTTTGTTATTCTTATTGTTTGCGTCAATGTCAATGTCCAAAAAAATTCATTAAAATGGCGTCTGAATGAGTTCCATACACTTCCTGTCAATAAAATCAATAAAATGAACATTTCAGTCAAAAAAGAGAGATACTCATCTTTGTCCAACACGTTATTTTTTTCATTAATTTGTCTTTGTCAAACTCATTATTAAATGCCAAGTACTTAGCTTACGTACAGTGTTTTGCTCAAAGAGCAAACCGTGCAGAAGCGGAACAGTAATCACGTGATCAGCGAGTAAGCCAGCACCGAGCACACTTTTCACGATAAACTTGAACTCAGATCAAAATACCAAACGCAAGGTTGATAAATAATTTGTTTTCGTAGCCGTTTCTTATAAGATCAGGTAGCTAGTGCAACCTCAGTTCAAGAGTACAGTGCACGTAGAATGGGGTCAGTACAGTTAGTGCAGCTAACACAGAGTCATTTTGTTTTTTTTAAATTCGCACCTTTCTAGTGGAGTATAGCGAATGCAAAACATGGAGCACGCAAATGTAAAATCGCGTTCGGGAGTCACTCCGAACAAATAGTTCCTAAACTTGTGATTCAAAATAATGCGACTCGGTACAGCTTATGATTGCAGTACAGTGTAATAATTCTTTGCCCGATCAGTGTAAGCGTTTTCAGTTGGTAGATCTAGAAAACATATTTATTTCTATTTCAATTATAAATATGCTGATAGAAAGAGATAAAAATAGACCCGGTGTCCATTAAATATTCCGATTTGTGCAGTTAGTGTAAAGTCAGTGTAGGAACAAGGACCCTTTTGGCAAACAATAAATAAAATTTTTGTTTTGGTTCGAACTTTGGAACAGTTCTGAGATTGCGGACAAAAAAATATTGGAAAACTGTTCTAATACTAGTTCTGAACCGATTCGGAACCAATACAAGCAGCAAATCACAAAATTCCAAAACATCCTTGTTTAGAGCAAGAACTGAAAGAATCGTTTTAGAACAATCCCAGAATTGTTCTAAATAAACCAAAACTCTGTCAACACAGTTTTATTACGATTCTAAAAAAACGAAAACGCTTTTTGTAACATGCGCATGTGTAGAATGATTTTGAATCAGTTCTGAGTGAAACTGAAACAAAAACCGAATTTTCGCGACAAACTACTTCCATGATTTCATGAACACAGACGCTTTCGCGAGAAACTCATGACGTCATATTGAACGTAGTTCGCCGGAGGCATTGACGAAGCTTCTAACCAGCGTTCAAACTCATGACGTCACCGACGAACTATGGTTCGTCCTTGGATGAACTACATTCGTCACGAAAACTCGATTAAAGCTAATAATTAAATTGTTTTTGTAGCCATGTCTTACAAGATTAGGGTAGCTAGTGCAACCTCAGTTCAGAACAGTGCACATAGAGCAGGGCTAGTACAGGTAATTCATCTAATTATGGGGCAGCCAACACTAAAAGCGACTCAAAACAGCTTGTGCAATGCAGTGTAAATTTTGTTCAAATTTTGTTTATTCTCTCAAAAGAAAATGCGCCTCAAGGTGAGTTCGGAATGGTACTGAGTGTCGACACTTTTTACACTATTGACACTGTGACGTTTGTTAATTGCAGAGTATAGTTCACATAGAGCGGGGTCAAAACAGGTAAATAGTTCAGCTAATGCGAATGTCAGAACATAAAACACTCGAATTTAAAAAAGCGTTCGTTTCAAGTCACTCCGAACGAATAGGAGACAGACAGACATTATTTGTAAATTGCAGAGCAGTACACATAAAGCCGGGTCAGTACAGAGGCGTTTTCTCGCGTCTCAAATGTTTCAAAACTGGTTTAAGTAATATCACCATGACGTCATAATTTCTCGGCGCGAGAAAATGGTTTGAAAACGTGGATTGGATTGTATTTCGAAACGGTTTGAACCAATTTTGACGTGACGTCATGGGTTTATCGCGAGAATGTAGTTTTTCAAAACAGTTTTGAACCAGTTTCAAAAAAGTGGACGCGAGAAAACGCCTCAGGTAATTCAACTAATGTAAATGTCAGAACATGGAACACTCGAATTTAAAACAGAGTTCGTTTCGAGTCACTCCGAACAAATAGATCCCCAAATTGTGACTACACAAAAAAGGTGAGTTCGGAATGGTACAAAGTGTCGACACTTTTTACACTATTGACACTGCGGCGTTTGTTAATTGCAGAGCAGTGCACCTAGAGCGGGGTCAGAACAGGTAGTTCAGCTAATGCAAATGTCAAAACATAGAACACTCAAATAAGAGTTCGTTTTGAGTCACTCCGAATTGTGACTCAAAAAAAAAATCAGTGTTCGGAATGGTTCAGCGTGTCGACATTTTATACTTTTGAGACTGTTGCGTTTGTTAATTGGTAGGGAGTACGTTTGGTGTACACTTTATTTGCATTTGAGAATAATTTAGTGCCCGAATGGTGTAAAGATTATGGGACACCGTTTACTCGGTACAAAATGATGGTGTATTCGGTGTTACACCGCCGATTACACCTATCACGTTAATTTCATACCCTACAATCTTAAATCCCATTCCGAACTCAACTTTAGTACAGCTTATGCAGTGTAGTGTAATTAGAGGTTTGTTTGTGTCGCATTAACTTAACTTGAGCAAAAAATATTACAGGTTTATGACGTCACCAGTTCAACTAATACTTGCTTTAGAACAATAAATAATCTGACACAAATCAACGGAGTTTTTCATTATATAATTTTCAATTTGTGCGGAAAATTATTATTATTATACAGGGTGTCCCACGACGTTTCTCCTAGGTGATAACTACGGAACGTGTCATCCAATATAATAGGCTCGTTCAGCATATTTTTTTTATTACATATTCTAAAAGAGCGTATTGAGTTTAGCAGTTGTGCAAAATTTCATAATTTTCCGAGCCCTTGTTCATATTTAAATAAATTATCAAAAAGCTTCAAGTTTGGAAATTTCGAAACACGCGGTGACGTCACTGCATCTCTCAAGTTGGTCGTGTGACGGCCTTTAGCCCGTCTTGACTTGAGAGATGACGTCATACCATTTCTAAGCGATGAATTTCTGAGGCATAATGTTTTATTATTCAAAGCCGCATAACTTTTTTAATATTTATCCAATTGCGCTGAATTTTTTTGTGTGTGCTATATGTGAGTAATACTCCATAAAAATATCAAAAAACGTGGTTAATGGAACCTCACTGAACGAGCCTATTGAAATTTTGAGGATCTGGGTAACTTTTTGTGCCGCTTCTACCATTGTCATCCAATTTTACCATTTTTGCTTCAATTTCGTTCAAGTGACGTCAACTTTCGAATCTTAAATACAACTCATGGTATATTATGGTATTTTTCGTTAGAAAATTAAATTACAAAATCGGCTATGCAATATTTGTTGAGGCTTTATTAAAGGATATGACAGAAAATTATACAGTGGAACATACGATGATGCGTTCCGAAATGATCATTTGGGAGGAACCTCGTGGGACACCCTGTATATATTCCGAAATCGAATTTGATTCATCATGATAATGGAAAGGACTGTGACGTTGCAGGCAGCCACTTTTCTATACAAAGGAATAATGGAGGGAACAGGGAACCGTCAGATTAGATGTGGCGTTTTAAACATTTAATTCTAGGCTGCCCTAACTTACTCCTCCTCGAATGCAAGTGCAGGTTGAACATGAACTAAACAATTTGGAACAAACGAACGCCCCAAAGCAGGAAGTGCTGCTCTGAACAACATAAACAAACAAACGTTTCACTAAATCAAGGCTGGGATTACGACGAGTAGAATTCTACTTTCATGACGTCACTCGTGACCTATTTATCCTATACAGTACAGGCAATAATGATGGTTGCTAGGCAACCTGACGTCATAAAAGTAGAATTCTAGTAGAATTTTACTTGTCGTGACCCCAGCCCAGGACTGGATAGCTAGTGCAATCTTAAGATTAGTTCAAAATTAGTCAATACAACGCCAGTGCAGCTTGTACCTGGTCAGTGCAATCTCAAAGAAAAATGGAGTCCACAGCTTATTTAATGCAGTTCAACTAGTTTTTAGCCAGAGGGCTTTATTTGAAATTGATGCAACTTTGCTTACACGCAAATATGACACAAATGACGTCATTTTCGATTGAAAAAGTACATGTCAAATAAACCATGCGCCGTGCACCAATTTTCAATAACCAAATGACGTCATTTGCGTGTACGCAAATATGACGCAGATGACGTTAGTTGCATTTGGAAAAGTACATACATATCTATAAGCCGTGCACCAATTTTCAATCGCGAATGACGTCATTTACGTGTACACAAAGTTGCATCAATTTAATGCGACTATTGCCCAATCAGTGCAAACAGACGTTTCCGGTTATTGGAATTAGTCCAAAGAAAATGTATTCATCGCTCTATTTCTTTAATAAACAAGTTAAGAGAAAAAGATAGATATACACTAAGTGCGTGAACAAAATAAGCTTAAACATCCTTTATGTCGAAATATAACAAAAACAAGACTCACCTTCAAATTGTACTTTTTCAGTACTTGCAGTACCGCCGCCAATTGATTCTTATCCAACCCGCTACTCATTTTGATAGAATTTGTATTAACAATAATTAAAATATTAATTTAATAATAATAAAAACATCTTAAATGTAAACATAAACATCCACCATTTTTATTTTTAGGTTGGGTTTTTTTTTTGACAGTTGGTTGACAAAGGGGTTTTCGGAAATTGATCGGATCAGTTGTGTGATATTGAAAATTTGTTCGCTTCAAGAATTCAGAACAGGATTCCTATAAGGTTTTAGTTCATTGTTCGTACTATCAATTAGAATTAGCTCCGAACTGGTTCTATCTGTTCGATGCCGAATGCCAGTTCTTTGTTTATGGTTCAATTATTAGAACCGGTTCCGAACCAGTTCGAGATTGAATTGAACCAGTTTCAAGTTTCTATAGTTCTTTGTTCGCCGTTCAATTATTAGAATTAATTTGTGTTGGTCGAAGCAGCACTTTTTGCTCTGGGGCGAATTGGTAACGTCACAAATCTGAAAAATTTTGTGCTCATTTCAAGTTAGTGTGACACCTAAACTAATCAATTCCGAACTGGTTCTATTAGTTCATGATTAAATTGAACTGGTTCGTTGTTCGGGGTTCAACTAGAACTGTTTTTTTTTTTTGTTAGGTTTGCCAAATCGTAAATGTCAATTTGTCAAGAAATAAAGGCGGTCTTCCTCCATTTTGTTTTAAAGCGTTGGTGCATAGTTACATGTTGTCGGCGTCTACTCCCGTTTAATTTGGAAAAAAAATCGTTTTTACAGCAAAAAACTGGTAAGTTTTGGTAAATTATTTTATAAAAATATGGCAAATAAGGTCTGGGCTACAATAACCATGTTTCATGGGCGTTGGGGCCTTTGTAATTGCCATAGCATTATCCGGCCTGCACTGATTTACAAAAATTACAGATAAAAAATGGGAAAACCCACTAAACCGGCCGCTGACGGAAGCGATAGCAGCGAAGAAGAATACTCCGTCGAAAGAATCATCAATCGCCGGATAAACAAGGGCAAAGTCGAGTACTTCTTGAAATGGAAGGGCTACAGCGAAGAGGACAACACATGGGAGCCCGAAGACAACTTGGACTGTCCCGATTTGATCGAGGAATTCGAGAAAAACAGGCGGGCCAACAAGGATAGGGCTAGTAGTAGCAGCAGTGGTAAGGACAAGGACAAGAAACGGTCCAGGAAGGATTCGGTTGACTCTGATGATGAAGATGACAAAAAGGTAAGACTTTTGTGGAATTTCCTCTTGTAAATTCATTTTTCTGTTGCTATGGTTTTTGTAGAACACTGACACTCTTCAATTATTTAGAATTTTGACACTGTAGAGCACTTTTCTTTAACAATTTACCTTGCGTTTGATATTTTGCTCAAAGTGTAGAGCGAGCTGAGCGGAGCCGTAATCACGTGACCAGCGAGCGAACGGAGCAGTTGAACGCCGTATAAAAGTACCGGAAATTTTAATAAACGAACGCGAATGAGGCTGCACCGAGTACACTTTTTAAATAAACGAACGGTAAAGTCAAGCTCGGAGAACTCAGACCAAAATAACGAACGCACGGATAGGTACTTGTGTTTTATGTAATTGTATATTTGAAGAAGAATTTTACCTAGCTACAACCCTGTATAAGGGGTGTATTCCTTTCACTTTTGGACCCACTTGTGAGCAGTCTATCTTTATCTAGTTCATAGAAAATTGAAATGATTGTTTCATAATGGTGGTTGCATTAATGGAAAAAAGAAAGCACCTAAGATTATGAATGTCATTCAATTTTTTTGACAAAAGTGTCAAATTTGAACTCAGTTGAAACTGCAAATCTTATAAAAATGTTACCGTTTGAAGATTGTGTAAGTAGACTATGTAGAATGATATTTTGACACTGTAGAGTACTTTTATTGGCGCTACAGATATTGTATATTGGATCCAGAAGTTCCTGATAATTTTTCCAGATTTTTTTAGAGCAGTGGTTCCCAACCGGTGGCGACCTACCTCAATCTTTGTATCCTTTTCCTCCTCCTCAGAGTTCCAGTTTAGGTAGTCTAGTTTGCTCTACTCTCATGGTTGGGAACCACTGTTCTATGTAGAGTAAAACAATTCACTTCAGTTTCATGCTAGGTTTTATTGTTAAAAGTACAAAAACTCTATAGACTGTAGAATTGATTTTCTGTTGATGTTTTAAAACCTAAATTTTGATTGTAGAAGAATCTTACCTAAGTACAACCCTGTACAAGGAGCATATTCTTTTTTTTTTCACCTGCGTGCAGTCTCTCTTTGTCTAGTTCATAGAAAATTGAAGTGACTGTCTCAGTTATATTAGTAGATACATCAAAAAGAAAGCGCCCAAGGTGTTCTATTATAGGTCTGTTCTCACAGAAATTACAAACCAGTCAGCATTTTTGATTGGTGCAAATCCTTGACAACCTGTTTTCAACCAATAATATTTATCGAGATTGATATATATATATTGATATATATATTGAAAATTGAAATGACTTGTAATGGTGCATTGATTAAAGAAAAGAAAGAGTTTAAATAAGATGATCTATCAAATGTCACTCCTTCCTATTTTTTTCATTTGACGTTTTTATCAAAAATGTCAAATATATAAGCTGGGAGAATAAGTGCAAATAAAATGTATTTCCATCTGTTTCCTCCACAGACTGAGAGAAAGAGATGAAAATACTCTTAGTGCACATAAAATCAGAAAATCCATAAGGTAAGATGGGTTCAATTGAGTTTTTCTTTGTGGTGTTCAGACCAATGACCCATTAACACAGATAGACGGAACAATAAACAATAATATCGGTTGACTACATGCCAGGAACCGCATCTCTCCCCACTACTTATTAATCCTTGTGTTATTTTGTATCTTTCTTTAACACGTGGAAAGCGATAATTTTTCAATGAAAATTAGCAACGCTGCAAAAAAATAAATCCCACCTCGAATTCCACCTTTCCACCAATCAGCGGCTTCTATTCAATTGTCATGTCAAAATGCGACGAGCAGGTATTTTATGACAATTTCCATTTGTCAATCAGTGCGCAGTGAGTGTATCCGCATCTTTTTCTAAAATTATGTAAAATATAAGGATGAAGATAACACTTTTGTAGCACTGATTTTGGTTTCATTTTCAGAATTGCCAAGTATGCGATAGTAAAATGGGGGCGGAGTTAGCGGAATCATTTGAATCCCTACTCCTAGCCGCTTTCACACCTCACCCCCCCTGGCCCATAAACATGTAGTCAACCAAAACAAAGCTATTTTATCAATGGGATGTTCTGTCTATCTGTGTTAATAGGTCATTGGTTCAGACAGTTATTTTTAATCTAATATTTGATCAATTTTATTCAATATTTTTATTTAATTTCAAAATCAATCTCCATGTAAACAAATATTCATTTGTTAATAATATTTCCCAAGTAATGTCCAAATCCTGATTCATTTTCAAAGTGCCTGTACCGAACTACTCTGTTCAGCTAGTGAACTCAGTGCCAGTTTTAGTTCTGCACCCGGTTCAATCATTGGTTCCATACACCACCGGATTGCTATCCTTGATCTCTTATTTTATAATGATACTTGACACTTAAGTCATGTCACTCTTGATTTGCATTTCAATTGACTTTTAAAGTGTCATTAATTTTTGTCGATTGGCTTTTGATTAGTAATGTTTTTAGGATCGTCGATTCCTGTTAAACACTTAAGTTTTATGAAAAGTTCTATTTCTTTCCTAATCTTAACTGTCAGTTGAATTTTATGTCATCAATGTCAAATTTGTCAATTGTTTAAAATTCACCTTTAGACACTCTAGAGATAACTGTATATCTTATAAATGTTTTGAGTTCCAGAAAACGCCTAAGGGGATCTATTAAATATCATTCCTTCCTAAAGTTCTTAAAGTTAATAGGTTATCTGGTAACAAGGTTGTTTGAGAGAGGTAGGTTGTCTGATATATTTATGACGTCATCTGTATGCCTAAACATAATACAAATCTCTACCTGTGTCATCAAGTTACCCATTACCAGGCAACTTGTTGACTGAACCTTGGTCTGGTAATTTGTGACTTGATGACACATCAGTGTCCTTATTCTTGAAACAGGGGAGCAGCGTTCCCAGGAGAACGAGTGTTCCGTCTTTCTCAATGATACGAAAATGATAATATCAGGAACAAAGACGGAATACTCGTTCTCCCGGGAACGCTGCTCCCCTCTTTCAAGAATAAGGACTCTGGAGTGACTTATGGAGATTTGCATTATGTTGAGGCACGGCTAGATCACGTTATAAAGTTATCAAGCAACCTACTTCTCTTAAAAAATCTTGACTTTCAACTTTTCAATTTGACATTTTTGACAGAAGTGTCAAATAAAAAAAGTTTCATGACCTCCTAAATTTATTTTCTGTTGATGTTTTAAAACTGAATTTCGCTTTCACAAGAATCTTACCTAATTGCAATCCTGTACAAGGGGTGTATTCTTTTTTTCACTGGTGAGCAGTCTTTCTTTCTCTAGTTCATAGAAAATCGAAATGACTGTTCCATAATGGCGGTTATTTACAGCGATTAAAAAAAAGAAAGTACTTAAGGAGATCTATTAAATATCACCCCTTCCCAAGGTCCCTACAGTTAATAGGTTGTCTAGTAACAAGGTTGTTCGACAGAACTAGGTTGCCTGATAAATTTTATGACACCATTTGGTATTCTTAAACATACTACAAATCTCCATAATCTATTAATTTTAGGAACCTTGGTGTGGTAACAAGGTTGTTTAAGGGAGATAGGTTGCCTGATAACTTGTATAATGTCATCTGTCTGTCTAAACATAATTCAAATCTCCATAAGGCATCTCAGATGCGTCATCAAGTTACCCATTACCAGACAACCTGTTAACTTTAGGAACCTTGGTCTGGTAATTGATAACTTGATGACGCATCTGGGGTGCCTCATGGAGATTTGTATTATGTTGAGGTACCCCAAATTATGTTATAAAATTACATCTCTCAGATAACCTTGACTTTTAACTTTTCCCTTTGACGTTTTTGAGAAAAGTGTCAAATAAAGAAGTTTCATGTCCTAAATGTGTTTTGCTTGTAGAAAAATCTTACCTAACTGCAACTTTATATAAGGGGTGTATTTTTATTCACTTTGAACTGTCTATCTTTGTCTAGTTCATAGAAAATCGCAATGCTTGTTCCATATTCAATATTGGTGGTGACATCAATGTAAAAAAGAAAGTGCCTAAGTTTGTAAATGTCACCTCACATCAAGGTTTTTAAAGTTAATAGGTTGTCTGGTAATGGAATATAGATGACGGCATTTGGGGTGTGTATTCCCCATATATTAATGTATTCTCTATGTTTTCCCATGTATTATTCCTTCATCTCTTTTTAACTTTTCAATTTAATATGTAGACTGTAGAATTGAATGAATTGCTCTAACAAAAAGTTTTATGTTTTAAATGTATTTGATAGATTTGCATAGAAAATTGAAATCACTGTCTCATAATGGTGGTTACATTGACTAAGTGACATATTTAAAATGTCACTTTCTCCTAACTTTTTTATTTGGTGATTTTGATAAAACTGTCAAATATAAAAATAGTATGTTTGTCATCTGCTTTCTTCATATTTGCATTCAGGGGCTAGTTCAGAAGAAGAATCGTTCCTTCTTTCTTTGTAATGTGTAATTAGACAAAGAGCCAACCAATACTAATGCCAGACATATTAGGCAATCCAAACCACGTGACCTTCAAGATGGCGTGGCGGCCACACATGGGGCCAAAAACTACAAAAAAAATATCTAGTTTCTGCCAGACTTAAGAGTTTACATACCTGATCGACAAATATTTTATTAAATAATCAAAATCAAAGTTGCAAGCAAAATAATTAAAATATGCATTAAAACACATATTCAAAAGAAGCTTGCTTGGCCGCCACGCCATATTGAATATTTGTTTTGACAGATGGATTGGATTGCCTAATTCCTTTGTACTTTCATTATATGATGTTGCCAGATAGAACATTAAGGCCCGGTTTACGCAATCTGATTGATAAAATCGCAATTTATTGGTTTACAGTATCTGCTAACCAATAAAATTATTATAGATTGTTAAATTTATCTTGTAGACAGTTATTAGTTATATTGAGTTTATCTGAAGATAAATAAACCGGGCCTTATATTAAAATAAAAGTGCAACTGTTGTTAATAGACACTTTAAAAACTCTATTTCTATATGATTAAGCCCGTTTTATTTTATCTTCAAATAAACTTGCTGATAACTATCTGCAAGATAAATTTATAGTTCTATTGGTTGGTGGACTAATGTGGTTACAGATTGCGTTTTTATCCATTAGATTACAGACATGACAATTTATCAGAAGATGGATTGACCAGCCTTTAAGTGCGGCTAGATCAATCGCTTGTTAGTTAAAAAAAACCTCAGATTGTATCAATATTAATATGACATTGTTTCTGTGTGGGCTGTGTGGCACATTCTAAGGTTATTGGGAGAGGTATTGTTACCTAAGAAGGACTTAACAATGCATTGGTTTAGCCGCCCTAAGGCCTTTTCAGAAAATCTGATCTAATTATCCGGATCACCAGCTGATGTATTTTGTCTTTTTCTAATTGTCTTCTTTGAAAAAAGATGAAAAACAAACAGTTGGTGATTGGGTTAATCGGATCAGCGTTTTTCAAAAAAGCCTCGTATCACTTTTTTAATGGGTATATTGTTCGATTTGGTTTGTTCTGCAACAATACAACGCTGGGACTCTTGTTACAGATCACCTACATACAGATGCGAAAGAGCGGTGAATTTGTGATTCAACGTTATATGAGTCCACTTGCCTACGACACGCATATTCTGTTTTATTTCTTTCCAACTTGTATTCATTACAATTAATCTATCTTTTTTTATTTATGCGAAATAGGTCAGTTGTTAAAAAATTTTACCAAGTTCAAGTTAGGTGACCAGGATGCGTCAAAAAAAGTGTAGCGAAACACCATAATATATTGCATGCTTATTTGTTAGTTTCCCACTCCCCATCAGCCTTAATTGATAAACAGTTAAGTTCACAATATACATATTGTTGACGCATCCTATATGTTTATAACTAACATTGAAAATTTGTAATTCAACACTTTTGTCAAAAAAGTCAAATGAAAAAGTTAGAAGGAGGTGAGATATATAATAGATCACCCTGTAGATTGTAAATAATGTAGATGTTGCTTCCTATGTTGTGAGTCCTAGAAAACCTCTAAAATGATGTATGTTCTTCTGTGGAATGTCATCTATACACTTTGCATGATTTTTTTCCAATGGACATTGTATTCTGTATGAGTTCCTGTAGCTGCAAAATCATCTACACATCATCATCACACTCCACAAGAGTGGCACAAGATTTGAAAATTCCTTTATTTATATTTTTATAGAAGAAGAAAGCCAAGAGTCCAGCATTGGACTCGGACGACGAGCCCCAGAGCAAAAAATCCAAAAAAGACGAAGAAAACGAGTCGCAAAAAAAGACCGACTCGGACGTCAGCGACGACAAATCGAAATCCAAAAAACGCCGATCGGAATCCAAGCCGCAATCGAAAAAAGACGACGACAAAAAGAAGAAACGCATGGTTGCCGCGCTGACGACAGCCGGGAGCAAACTCCCTGAACCAGAGTCCAACTCCGAAGATGACGCTCCTAAATCCAAAAAGAAGCACAAAGATGAAGAACCCGAAAGAGATTCCGATGAGGAAAATGTTTCCACTAAAGATAAAAAGAAACGCAATAAGGAAAGCAAGGATTCGCTTCGCGGCAAAGTTGTTAAAAAGTCTGGATTTGAAAAAGGCCTGGAAGCTGAAAAGATTATTGGTGCTTCAGACTCTACTGGTCAATTGATGTTTTTGATGAAGTGGAAAAACACTGACGAGACGGATTTGGTTGCCGCCAAAGAGGCCAACACTCGCTGTCCTCAAGTTGTCATCGCTTTCTATGAGGAAAGGATCGCTTGGCATACGCCAGAAGAAGACGAGCCTTAAATGTACTTGTACAATGTTTTATTATTTTATTCTTTTTTAAAGAGATCCTTCTATGTTTATTTAGGTTTAGGTTTTTCGGTAATATCACTTGGCGCCTGATTTTGAAATAGAAAATCTCACTAGTAACTTTTTTTTAAATGTTGGTCTTTGCTTTAATGTTTTGAGAATCAGGTGCGACAGGTCGACTTTTAGAAATATGATTACTGGTTTGCTCTTAACTGAATTAATACTGTTTTTATTTTGAGACTTGGATGTGACAGGTCGACACAAAAATATTGTTTTGAGTCAACTGAATCAATACTTTTCTTATTTTTAATTTGAGTAAAATTTATAATATCTTGGATTGTTTGTGTTTTATTTCACTTTTGGGTGTGTCAACTAGCAAGTACCTGTCAACAAAATTAAAAGGTATGTATTTGAGGATATGAAAGCAATAACAATAATTATGTAGATAAATATAACAATGGAGAACATTGGTACTAAGTATGACAGTAAGGAATGTGCAGTAAAGATTTACTTTGAGTGTGCAGATAAAAGCATCCAAGATATTTGTGGCTTTTTATGTAGTTGTTAAGGATATTCAAAGCAAAACAGGCATCAAAGTATTTCCTTCTACGAACAAAAGTAGTTACGTCTAAGTAAGTCATAGTCTGGTCAACACTGAGACTCACATCACTCGTCAGTTTGTACCTAGCAAACTTCATAAATTTGTGTTGAACACTCTCAGGTCTATTGATTTGGATTTGATAGTAAGGTGACCAAACTATGCCAGAAAATTCAAGAATAAATCTGACTAGTGATGTGGAAACAATTTTGATGAGGCGTATACTTGTAAAGTCCCTAGTAGCTCTCTTAATAAAACCCAACAATGTATTAGCCCTGCCAATTACCATTTCAAAATGTTTGTTGAACATTAGTATCTAAATAGACACCAAGATCTTTAATGACAGAAACTTCATCTATAAGCAATACTGAAAGGGAACCTTACAGGTGAGTCTATTGAATCTTTAGGTATACAACAACACCTATAAATGTTGAGGAACACGTCATTAGCCTGACACCAATCATAAACGATGTTTAGATCGTTTTGCAGAATAAAGGCCGGGACACACTTGTCATACACAACGGGGTGATCTTTATGTCATACTTGTTTCTGGGTTTTTTCTAGTTCCGGCTCGTTACACTCGCCATTATTAATTCAAACAATATTGCAGAAGGTCTCGTGTGCAAAATGTTCTAAAATTTTGCATGGCTGTTTAGAAGTACTTAGATGAAGTACTACATCGGAGATCTTTTATGGAGAATAGCGGAAAATACAGATTTTGGGTACATGCTGCTTAGAAAAGAAGATCTGCAAAAGGATAGTTTTCTACACTTTTCCCTTGTAGCAGTCTTTTTTTTCCTCATTCTATGGTTTGATAAGAGATGTTTTTTATTAATTTGAAAAAACCAAAGGTTTCTAACGGTCGGTTTCTTAATAGCGAGTCACCTCCGGGTTGGTTTTAACTCCAAACTAAATTTGTCCAGATCACAGATGCAATGTTAACCCTGGAGTTATCCTTAACGCGGAGGGCTTAACTTGCTATTGAGAAACCGGCCCTTGGAGTTGTCAAAACTATTAAGTCACTCGACTCGAATTTTAATTATTTTCTATATATATTATATTGTAGGTTTGATGATGCTCGTATGAGCGAAACGGGCATACTTGAATTCGGCCACAAACCAGGTAGGTGCAGTAATCTTACCTTTGAATTCGACCAAATCATGAAACCCAACCTACTTCCCATAAAACTTATTTTATGATGTTGACAGATTTCGCATTGCATATGAGTTAATAAATCTAAAAAAGTGTAAATATGTATATTGATGCGCAAAATAAAAATTTAACTAGAACTTCGTGATTCGGCTGAATAGCTAATAACTCGAACACAAAGAAATCGCTAACTTCTTGATTCTCCAAAAACATCATTCCGAAACAATTATGTAACGATTTACCGATTCCTGAATCTTTTTTTTTTATATTCAATGCTTAAGCCTAAGTTTTGGATCTTCCTCTACCATGCCTGAGATTTTAGCTATTTATAAGAAGTAAATAAGTTGATTTAATATCTATATATCTCAGTGTACCGATTTGCATATTGATAAATTGTCACCCTTATTCCGAAACTGGTGAATTTTGTGGCTGAGTTCAAGGATCCCGGAGCTAAACACATGTCACTATTAAGTGAATCAAATAATAAACAATCTGTGTTAACATGTGGCTTTTCAAATTATGTTTTTGCTTAAATTTTGCATTGCAAGTGTCACATTCAAATGGATAAATATCCGAATGTGTTAGTTTGTGAATCTTTAAATTGGCTTTCCATTTAAATTTTGATTTGCAAGTGTCACATTCAAAAGGATAAATATCCGAGTGTGTTGAAATGTGCCTTTGTAAATTACTTTTCTTCAAATTTTGCCTTGCAAGTGTCACATTCAAATGAATAAATACCCGAACATGTTAGTTTGTGTATCTTCAAATCGCGTTTCCGTTTAAATTTTGATTTGCAAATGTCCCATTCAAAAAAATTAAATATCCAAGTGTATCAATATGTGTTCCTTCAAATCGCCTTCTCTTTCCAATTTTGCATTGCAAATGTTACATTTGAAATTCTCCTCATCCGAGTGTGTTAATATGTGGCTTCTCAAATTACGTTTGTTTTCAAATTTTGCATTGCATGTGTCACATTTAAAAGGATAAATATCAGACTGTGTTAGTTTGTGTCTCTTTAAACAGTCTTTTCCTTTGAATTTTGCTGTGCAAATGTCGCATTCAAAAAGGTAACTATCGATGTCTGTTGATATGTGACTTTTCAAATTACCTTTTTGTTTAAATTTTCCTAATTTAAATTTTTCTTTAAATTTTGCATTGCATATGTTGCATTTAAAATTCTTCTCGTCCAAGTGTGTTAGTTTGTGTCTCTTCAAACTGCCTTTTTTTTAAATGTTGCATTTAAAATTCTGATTCTGCTTCTAAAATGATAATTTAGACTGAAGTGCCGTTTTTTACGCATAAAAAATTTATTCAATTGATTTTGACCCCCCCTACATATTTTTCTGCGGGCGCCCCTGGTTGTTGGTCATAAACTATGGCATATCGATACGTTGCGATGTGCCGTTGCCGTGACGAGACAAAATGTTATGTTTTTCAATTCAAGTATATCCTGAGCATAGGCTAATATAAAAGTTATGTGTACAAAAGGACCCAATTACAGTAGGATTTGCATCTGCAAATTTGCAGCTCTGCATATGCGCTCCATTTCCAGGAATGGACAAATTACAGAAAAAATCTGCAATTCTGTCAGATTTATCGAAAAAAAGTGTTCGGGCGCTACTGATTTACCAGTTTTAAATGTCAAAGTTATTGCAAGGACTTATACGGGACTGTTTCACCATGCACAAATTTGCAGGCGACTTGCAAATACATTCTGCTTCTGTAATACGACAAGTCAAACTTCTAGGTTCTGCATTTGTATCTTGGAGTTGCAGAGCTTCTGTAATTCTGGGCATAATCTACAGTTTACAGTTGACGATGGTTGCTGAAAATTTCGGTTCCGACAGTTTCATACCAATTTTTCATATGAAACGCTTTTCCTATCGCAGAATCGCTTTGGTGACATTTTTGACACACACCCGCCCTAAGACTGGTGCGAAGTATCTCAATTGGGAAAAGCCCCTCTATAGTCAAGTCTCCTCCCAGTGCAAACTACCTTTATTGGGAAACGCCCTTCTAGACCTGTCTCAAAACCCAGCTTAAATATTCAGTCACAATATTACGCCAAGTGTACAGAGTGTACATCATCTACAGTTTACAAAGTGGCCTAAATAGAAATAGTATACCTTCCTTCGTAAAAGAGATGTCATGGCTATTATTCATATCTTTTTATCAGTACATATCCTATTGAACCTATACTCTACCTGAACCTCCACTTACGAACCCAGGTTACGTTCCTGTTGTGACGTCGTAAAACGAAACATATAGGGATTGAATCTTGAGGAGTTAAAGACCAAGCCGAAACAAGTTGTAGAAAAACTGCAAACTGCAAAAAAAGTGGCACAGAGGTTTAACCATTTCACGACTGCATATGAGAGTCCGTTCCTAAACAAGGTCAGACTCTATCTCAGGTGATATCAAGATTGCTAATGCAAGTAGAGGAAGACAGATATAAATCCACTGTGTTGGGTGGTGTAGCAAAAGAAATTTTAGCGAGAATAAAAAGTGTTTTGTATGCCAGAAAGTTGGTCATTTAGCAAGAGATTGCAGAAAAGTGACTCAGGTAACTTTTGTCAAAAATAGTTTTGGAAAAATAAAAGTCAAAATAGGGAACAATCAGCCAGTAATCTTTGTCAGAGTCTCTGGAGCAGAAACCTGTGCAGATTGGTGTACAAGAGTTATCTGTTTGAGAGTTTCAATAAATTGAAAAGCAACCAGAAAGTGGAGATGGAAACCTGCTAGAAGTAAAAGGGGTTGGAAATATAAGAGTTTTGGCATTTGTACCACATTTGAAATTAAATTGGTTTTTTGTGGGCCGAGCCTTGGATAAGGGTTTCCCAATGATCTCAATTGATAATGTGTGCAAAATTGTAAACAAGGATAATTTTTGTGCTATGGCGACTAAGAAGAAAACAATGTACAATATGAGGAATTAAGAAATACATAGAAGAATTGGCACATAATTTTAGATTGCAAAATTTGAAGGTCCGTTAATAGTTGTCAACAAGCATCTAACAGAATTTTTGAGGAGAAAAGGGATAAGACATCAACGTTCAGTGGTATACACATCAGAGCAAAATGGCCAAGCTAAAAAGGAGATGCGTAAAGATAAAACCAACTAAGAAGAAGCCACCGCGTGACGCTTTAAATAAGAGGGCAGAGAAAAGGAAATTTGCTGATGACGTCAGGAGTTCTTCTTAGTTTGGTTCTAATTATACCTTGAAAGAAGCAACAAGGACCACGTTAAATGGTAGACAGTTAAAGGATCTATACAGGAGCTATTGCACTTTTACCAATTTTTTGTCCCTTTCAAGGTCATCCGTCCAGCTCGCCAATGGTCGCCGCCGCTAAGTCCCGCCCAGCTATACATACTTTTGACCGGTCATACAGATCTAGAGACTTTACTGTATCAGAGCTGTGATGTAGGACTGTGTAGTATCTGGGTTTTTTCAAAAACAGTGTAATGTATAGTGTTCTCGTCAACTAAGGCAGAATCACAGATTTAAAACTTAGAGCGTGTAGATTTGAAATATTATTTTGTAAGTGTAGTGTCACACATAGCGTTGTTGCCGCTGCGGCAATTGTATTAAG